GTGATCTGGTACACCTATTTGCAACTGTGAGTCTGTTCCTTTTTGGGATTATTATATATCATTGCCTTATTTTTTTATTTTCTTAAACATTGTGATTTTTTTCGTAATTTTTCTTGGATATATATATATTTTCTCATCGTTCATTATCGTACTTCATATTTCATCATGACTGAACAGACACCTAAAGTACTCAAGCCTAAGAGCTTGTCCCCACCTTCGTTTCAACTGATGCCTTTCTGGCCCGACAACATCGAAGCTTGGTTTTGCTACGCAGAAGCCGACTTCTCCGAGAACGGCGTGATCGACACACGTGCACAATTCCTCGCAGTAGTCAAGGCGCTACCGCGCGAATTCAACAGGTACGTAACACCTAGTATGTTTACTAGTGATGTTTCCGATCCTTACGAAATTTTAAAACGCTCGATTCTTAAACGAGGAGATCTAACTGATCGACAAAGGTTAGATCAACTCTTCAACAATATCGACCTGCAACACGGTTCTGCGACGGACATGTTGCAACGGATAAGAGAGGTAATAGGCCCAAGAACTTTCGATGAAGGTCTATTCAAACAACTCTTCTTGTCAAAACTTCCCCAACAGGTGCAAGCAGTTCTGGTCTCGTTCCAGAACAACGCCTTAGACGAGCTAGCTGCATCTGCCGACCGCATTTTAGAAATTACGAAACCTTCTACTACCGAGGTATTTTCAGTCAAAGAAAAACCTCAAACGACTCAGAATGACATAACCGATTTATGTCATACACTCACGTGTTATCTTAGTCTTCGTACCGACCGTAAGAGATCGCGCACTCCACGTAGAAGCATTTCACGTAAGCGATCTGTCTCTAGACCACGAGAGACAGATAACCCCGACTGGTGCTGGTATCATAACCAGTATGGAAAGTTTTCCAGAAATTGCAGAAAACCCTGTAATTTTCCCGACACGAAACCGAGTGACTCGAAAAACAACTCGGGAAACTTCCAAGTCGGCACGCGTTAACGGCAACCGTAGCCGGCGAACATAGCCGTCTGTTATACGTCACAGATGTGACAACGAGAGTTCGCCACCTCGTCGACACTGGCGCAGAAGTTAGCGTTCTCCCAGCGAATCCCAACGATCGGCTTCAAGAATCGGCTCTAAATTTACAGGCGGCAAACGAAAAACCGATCGCTACGTATGACAAAAGGTACATTTACCTTAACGTGGGTTTACGCAAACCCATCCACTGGATTTTCGTTGTTGCAGATGTTTCTATGCCAATCATTGGTATGGACCTTCTACAACGCCACAATCTGATCATCGATACGCGCAAACGGAGGCTAGTAGACGGAAACACTAATTTATCTGTTTGCGTAACTTCCTTTTCTGGTTGCAGGTTATCTCCGGTCACAATTAAACATATGACAGACCCACTCTATCAACCACTACTCGATAAGTACCCTGGGAGACAACAAACTCAACCGAAACTACCGTATGTAACCAGCAATGTTACACATCACATCACGACTACAGGACCACCTGTATTCTCTAAAGCACGACGACTAGCTTCTGAAAAGCTAAGGTTAGCGAAAAACGAATTCGATCATATGATAGACTTAGGAATCATACGACCGTCAAGTAGCCCATACGCATCTCCGTTGCACATGGTCCCTAAGAAGGACAGCAACGATTGGCGTCCAACTGGTGACTATCGGCGATTGAATGCGAAAACCATTCCCAATCGTTACCCGTTGCCTCACATTCACGATTTGACAGCTACCTTGAAAGGTACAACTGTCTTTTCGAAAATCGACTTGGTTAAAGCGTATAACCAAATCCCTATGGCTACTGACGACATTCCGAAAACAGCTATCATAACTCCCTTCGGACTCTATGAATTTTTGCGAATGCCTTTCGGTCTACGAAATGCTGCTCAAACATTCCAAAGATTCATAGACGACGTTTTTCGAGGTCTCAGCTTCGTACACGCGTATGTTGACGACTGTCTAATTGCAAGTCCGGACAGAGAATCGCATCTCAAGCATTTGGATCTTGTTTTCGAACGACTACAACAACATGGCATTACTATAAACGTTCAGGAGTGCCAATTCGGAACCGACTCAATAAACTTCCTAGGACACACTATCGGTGCTCAAGGCATTTGACCCCTTAGGACCAAAGTGGCGGCAATTCTGGATTACCCAGAACCGACCACGATCAAGCAACTACGAACGTTTAATGGCCTCGTAAGTTTCTATAGACGGTTCATACCGAAATGCGCTTTACTCATGAAACCTCTTACCGACCAACTTCGTGGAAATGCGAAATCCATTAATTTGGACGACACTGCACGAATAGCATTCTCCACAGTTAAGGAACTTATTGCGAAAGCAACAATGCTTGCACATTAGGACACTCAATCACCCATTAGCATCGCAGTAGACGCATCCGACTCAGCAATCGGAGGAGTCTTACAACAATGGGTTAACAACTCCTGGCAACCATTGGCATTTTTCTCTAGAAGGTTGCTAGACACCGAATCGAGGTACAGCACATTCGGTAGGGAACTCCTAGCTATGTATTGTGCTGTACGGCATTTCCAACACTATATCGAAGGCCGTGAATTCACTCTTTTCACGGACCATAAACCTCTCACTTTCCCGTTAAGCTCTCCTTCTGACAAGTACTCTCCCCGTGAGTCTCGAAAACTAGACTACATTTCGCAGTTTACTTCAGACATTCAACACATCTCTGGAGCAAACAATGTAGTCGAAGACACATTGTCTCAAACAACTACCTTGAACAGTTACCATGGGATCGATCTTCTAAAATCTAAGGTTATCAGACACAATAAATGTCCCTTAGGCTCATTTAAAACTCCCGATGCTCGTTTCGACCATGTTTATCTGGATTTGGTAGGACCGTTACCAGATTCAAATGGATACTCTTACCTCTTAACCTGCGAAGACCGTTTCACTCGATGGCCAGAAGCAGTACCTATCAAGGACATCACTGCTGAAACAGTGGCTCGCACATTCGTCGAACGATGGGTAGCAAACTTCGGTTGCCCTTCAACCATCACTACAGACCGCGGACGTCAGTTTGAATCTGATCTTTTCCGTCGCCTGACCACACTATTAGGAAGCACTCGCTTCCGAACGACCGCCTACCACCCACAAGCAAACGGGTTGGTAGAACGTTTTCACCGACAACTAAAAGCTTCACTATCAGCTGCAAACGTTTCACAGTGGACCGACGCTCTTCCACTCGTCTTACTAGGTATCCGCAATGCAGTGAAAGCTGACATTGGATACACTGCGGCTCAACTCGTTTATGGAACGACACTTCGACTTCCAGGAGAATTCGTGGATTCTTCATCCTCTTCAATGAACATGGATCTAACCACCTACACGAACAGGCTTACAAACGCAATGCGTTCAATTAAACCTGCTTCCACTCGACCTCAATCAACTGATGTTTTCGTTCAACCTGACTTACGATATAGTACACACGTTTTCATTCGTCGAGACTCGCATCGACGACCTTTCGAATCAGCATACGAAGGACCTTTCAAAGTTCTTCAACGCGAACCGAAGTACTATATAATCGACAAGAACGGAACCAACGATAGCATCAGCATCGATCGCCTCAAAGCAGCGTATTTAGAAGGAAATCCTATCTACGTCGATTTTCCTTCGTTACAATCGAACGACACGACTCCACTCATAATTCCTCGACCGACAACCAACACTAGCGAAGATACTCCGAACGTATCTGAAAATAAAACTAAAACGACTCGTTCTGGAAGAAGAGTAAGATTTCCAGAACATTTAAACGACTACTGCAAGTAAAGCACTACTCGACATTTTATATTATCTCGATCTTTCTTTTTACGATATATAATTTTTTTAAAAAAGAATTTTAATATGCTTATATATTTATATTTTTTTTACTAAAAAAACAAAACAAAAAAAACATTTTTTAACGCTATTATGTGTGCTTGAGTATATTTTCCATTTTTTCGCCGACATTGTGTTTTTACGCACATACGAGTGTATTTCGACATGCACTTACATATTCTTTTTTCTTTTCCAGGACGGCTGGAAAAGAACGATGCAGTTTACGAGGAGTCGAAATTTTCGTTGTAACTTTTTCTTTTTTTACTATGTTGTACCTCGGTCCCATATAGTAAGGAAAGACGACCAGACTCTGCTACACTTAGTAAGCTATCAGAAGAGTGTTTACCAACGACAAACTCGTTGGGTTTAAACTTCTGGCTGGCCACGTATTAGGGTCGTCACTGCCCCACTAGGGGGGAGTGATCTGTGGCGGTAAATAAATCCCCAGAATAAATGGCTCTAAGTTTTCGACATTGGATGCTGACCATATGTTTTAGTGGACTCATCTAGCTGAAGGCGCTCGGTCATGCATCCGCACCAGATCACGTGTGGTAACGCTGTGCTCAACATCAACCGCAATCGCTAGCCAGATTAGATCAGAGAATTCCGATATATTGGTCATCGCCAAATATACTCTTCCGATCTCCTCGACTCTGTCTTTTGATTTTTTTGGGTGGGAACGAAATATATTAGAGGGTGTTACTGGTAAAAGCGTTGTCAAACACTGAATACCTGTGACATCATCAGTGATATATGTATTCCTTCGAAACTCAGACAATGCTATGAAAATAATGTGGATTTTTCCTTGAAAATAACTCACTGTCGCTAATCAAAATGGAAACATTTGTATCTCAAGACGGATTTGTGGATCGGAATGAATATTTCAAACATTTAGATCACTCATATATTCTCTGCTAGAACTGTATCGATGAAAAATGGCTTGAACAATCATTAATATCTTCTATTCGTGCCTCGTGAAATTTTGTTTTATTATCAAGAACGCTATCATAACACGCACGCCTAATCCTAAGGGACAAGTATTTCTTCTATTCGATACAGTTAAGTTTGGCATATTGAACATACTGCGCTTTTGACCTTGATAATGTTAACAGGGTGGCAATACGAAAATCGGTTTATACAATGTCTGTTTATGCGCGCCGTTGCACTGCTTGTCTTTGTAGAGTCAAAAGCTCATGTTGTGATAGACGAAATGGCGTATCATTCATAGTTCATAGAAATGGAGATACATTCAACCCGGGGAGACGCGTTTTTATTAATCAGAGACTAGCTCTAACATGGAGCTCATTCATGGAACAGGTGAGGAAGCAGTTGGGACAGTATGTTCCTGCTATCCGTTGTATCGTATCACCAAATACGGGCACTAAGATAGAAAGCGTTGGCGACATAATGGAGAATCATAGGTACGTAGCAGTACCAAGGGGCGAACCTCTAAAACTGTTAGAGTAAGTCACAACTTTCACTAAAACATGCTTCATGATATCGATAAATGGATATTATTAATCATGTCAGCTCGGCAGCATGTGGTTGAATGCCACATCTGCGTTTCATTATGTAGGGTGTTTTAAACACTTTAGCGAACTTCGTCTTAGGAATCTTAAGTTTTAAATCGAGAAAGCTATGTAGTGAGTAGTAATTTTGGCAAATTTAAAAAAATTGTTCTTACTAAAGTTTCATTATTTAGAGCTAATACGCCCGTCAAGGTAAAACTACCAGCTTAATAACGCCATCAGTATTAAGTAATGAAACATCAGTAAAAATGATTTGTTTAATTTTTTCAACTGTATAGAAATCGCCGATTTTCAATAATAAGTAATGTCAATTTCCAGTGTTTAGATTTTTAAAAGCGTTTACTTTGCAAATTACTGTAATTTTAACACTCAGTCTTTTCTTTTCTTATATTTGGTAATATTCGATCAGCTAGACCCATTTTGGTTCACATTTTCTACTCTAAAATAATGCTTTTGCTTTGAGTTCACCATACCATACCTTAAGCACATTTTGACTGAAACCGGAACTGCAGTTTAAAACATGCAGTTATTGTGGGTTTTGCGATCTTATGAAGATTCTGAAACCTACAATAGTTGGATGTCAATGCCGATCTACGGGTTTTGGTCATAGATTACCATGTTTCTGATTAATTTATAGTAACACTAGAGGAGGGTGATTTTAACATAATCGAAAAGTGTTGGTAGTCGGAACTTATCGACTTTTCAGCACTTTTCCACCTCATACATTCAATAAGTACATACTAAACTACCAATCCAAAATGCCTAAATTATTCCATAATAGAACATCCTCATGGTTATTGTGACCAAAAACCTGCAGTCATCTAAACATTGTATAAGTCGTATTCTGACTGGTTGATAAGTCGCGTGATAGAAAAGCCAGACATCAAGGTCATAACACCTTTAAAACAAAGAACGGGGGAATCACAATGAATGTTATGCACCCATCAATGATATTTATTTACTATTTATTTATTTAAACACATAAACATTGGCACAAGGAGACGCCAAATAGATATGCGCCGCATAAATCATTCGGTTTGTGTGAGGACTGGAATACTACCCAGATGCCAAAACCGAAGCAGGTAGTTTTCTTAGGGGGCTACACAAGGCGGTGCAACAATTTCAGGAGATGCAGTTCCATGGCAGCCGGTGACCAACGATTGGCTCATACGCCATTTGTTCCTTTGGGATTCTGGAGCCCATATGTACCATCAGTTCGGAATCAGGGTTTTCCAACTTTCCTATGTAGGCCCTCCGTGTTCACCGACCCAGTTAAAGCATTGGGCATCCGCTCTTCGTCCTCTCAATTCCGTAGACAACACCCGTGGTGCGAGAAGGTAGTGAGTAGGACTCCTCTGGCAGTTGTTGTATATACGTGGCCATGTGTGAGCATTTCGAGATAGAAAGGGCTGACGTACCACAGCATTTGGGGGCACCAGTAACAGCAATTACGACGACAAAGAACAGTTTTGCCAGGGGCTAAAATCAATCATATCGAAGTGACCAGGAAACGACCTGAACGTCCTTATAGGAGATCTAAACGCCCAAGTTGGAATGGACAACACCAGATATCAAGATATCATGGGACGATATAGACTAACTGGGAGAAAGGAACAAGAATGGTGACAGATTTGTAGGTTTATGTTCACTCAACATAATCATAAGGAATGGATCTCTATAGAAACCCTAGACAATGTTCAAGAAAATACGAACAAGAAGGCAACAATTAACAACAGTTCGACAAGAACAGAGAAAGTCAAGGCACAATTTGAATAAACAGGAGTAAACAGTCAAGTGAACAGGAGCTTTAGAGCCGACAAGTAAAAATGCGTGAAAGACCTAGCAACGACAGTAGGATATGCTGCGAGAGGAGTAACCACTAAACAACTATATGACACAACGAAAAAACTGGAAGGGAAATATAGAAAACTAGAGAGACCAGTCAGCGATAAACAATGCAAGATATTCATTGAATTTCAAGATCAGCGGAACAGATGGGTAGAACACTCTGAGGAACTCTTGAATAGACCAGCGTCATTGAGTCCACCGGGTACCGAAGCAGCACACACAGACTTTCCAATAGCTGTCACTCCACCAACGATCGAAGAAATCAGAATAGCCGTCAGACAAATCAAGAGCGGGAAAGCAGCAGGACCTGACAACATACCAGCTGAAGCACTGAAGTCAGACATAAAAGTAGCTGCAGAGATGCTCCATGTCTTGTTTAAGAAGATTTGGAAGGAAGGAAAAGCGCCACCAACAGACTGAAAGGAAGGAAACCTCATCAAGATACAAAAGAAAGGAGATCTCAGCAAGTGTGAGAACTACAGAGGCATCACACTACTGTCAGCACCAGGAATGGTTTTCAAAACAATGTTACTGAACCGGATAAATGACTCAGTAGACACCAAAAATCGAGGTCAAAAAACCGGAATCCATGCTGATCAGTGGTGCACGGATCAAACTGCGGCACTACGAATCGTCAACATCATCCAGAATCCATACGACGGACTACAGTGTAAAGTCGTGCATGGAGCACAGCTGAAAGATGTATTCCAAGTGAGGAAAGGAGTCAGACAAAGATGCTTACTGTCCTCATTCCTCTTTCTTGTGATGGTCGAGTAAATTTTGAAGACCTCGACATCTGAGGAAAAGCAGAGAATACAATGGACAGCTCAGAACCAATTAGAATATTTGGACTTCGCAGATGACCCAGCTTTCCTATCCAATACACACGAACAAATGAAGATGAAGACAACTAGTGTAGTAACAGCCTCTGTATCGGTAGGCCTCAACATACAAAAGAGAAAAACCGAAATCCTAAAATACAACACAGCGAACGCCAACTAAACCAATCACGCTTGATGGTGAATCTCTGGAATGTGTGGGTAGCATAATCGATTGCCTCGATGTAGCCTTAAGTCACAAGCATCGAAAGCAATGATGAATAGTGGCTAGCAGTGGAATCTAGGACACGCGTTACGTCCTATTTAGAACGCTACTGTTAGTCGCTATCCATCTTTGCCTATAATGCTTGCGACTTAAGGCCATATCGAGTCCATATGAACAGTATGCGCGTATGCCAATAAGAGACTGATCAGTTACAGTCCTAAATATCAATGGGAAGATTTAAGTAAACAATACCAAGTGAATTTAAAACTTCACCCCATTGCACAAGCAAGTGAATGTCAGGACTCAGTAGGTAAGTGGATAACGCGATGGTGTTTGAAGCGAACGGCACTACGTTCGAGTCGCAGAGTGAACATCAACACTGAGATGCAAGTACATCCATCTGACAAGTCCCAAATAGGATGAAACGCATGTCGTGGATTCCACTGCTAGCAACTATCCATGTTTACAATGATTTGATCTATAAAATTTATTTACATTTAACTTCATATCATTTTTTTCTCTAAAACTTGTTTTTTTACAGTTATCAGAAAACTGATGAAAGGTCACGATATGCATCAAATCATCATACATCATCGGAATTATTCGAAAAGGTATAATCAATCAATTAGCATAATTCTTTTCTCAGAATGGGTTTTGTGGAGAGTTTTAGAAATTTCACAGGTTGAAATCATGAGTCGATTGAAGCTAGACCACCATGGAAGACCTGGAAGCACTGGACGGCCATTTCGTCCTAGTAAGTGCTCGCGCGCGAAGCCAGTAGGTCCTGGGTTCAAGCCGCGCGTGGTGCGGGATCGTGGACGCGCGCTGCTGAGGAGTCCCATACTAGGACGAAACGGCCGTCCAGTGCTTCCAGGGTTTTCATGGTGGTCTAGCTTCAATCGACTCATGATTTCAACCTGTGATAATTCTTTTCTCCCTTTTTTAAATGATTTTTCTACATGTGATTTTTTCATTAACAACTAACTAACTACAAATCAAATCATATTACCATATGTCTTTTTTGCAGATTATTTACCATAAACTAATGCGAACTGAATACTTAAAATTACATCATAGTTAGATATGGATGTGTGACTTAGTGGCTAGATAATTTGACATCCGACGAATTAAAGATCATTTCATATACTTTTCTATTCATTGCGATCTAGGAAGCCGGATAACATCACTTGTGACCCATAACCGTTCACTTCAATGTTTTCACATATTGATTATCTTGTACTTATGTGAAAGTACCTATGAACAGATACTTTTGTCTTGGTCAAAACAAAACATTACAAACTAGACTCATCGAATGTAAAATTTAGTAAGTATTAGTGGTACTTTATCATGGTAAGTAATGCTTTATACAAGCAGCAACGGTAATTCCCCCCTATAAGTAAACTGCTTTTCATCTTAGTATCGAAGTAGAAAAAAAACACCGACAATATAAAAGCTAGTAATTTTTAATATGAATGCAATTAAGTTATTATCAAACATAATAAATGTTCTGCTACATAATTAATTGCTAATTACTAAGAAGTTACAGTAAATCCAGTTGGTGGTTAGAGGTAGTTAAGTGGGAACTCTTCATAACTAAGGTTTCTTGTCAGTTGGTATATGTCAAAAATGTGTACTTATAATGCTGAAGGAAATGATTCTCCCCTTAGGATTCGGACTCTTGTCGCGTAACTTTACAGTTTAAAATGTTAATATTGCGAAATTCAGGTTCTGATTGACTTCCTGTAGGACTAAAATAGTTACAAGTGATGTTCCGGGAATTAGTGGTCAATGTCACATTCATCTAGTCCGTTAGTGCTAACCAAAATTTCTTGATCATAGTTAGTGAGAGATATTTGTTAATAGATACCCCAAAAGTCTTTGCTTCAACGCTCACCTAATATGCCGTGTCAAAATGTCATAAACTCTTGATAAACTTGACAAAAAGAAACTATACCTAACGGTTCACCATATAAGTTAGTATTTAAGGTAAAGCTAAATAGATTCACTTTCTAATATCTTATATCTAATAATTATGAGATGTTTCATCTCAAGGATAGTTTTAAATTTCGTATAGCTAAGGCTTCAAAACACCGTTGTTAATCCTAGACAACCTGTATATAAAACCAAAAGGGTGCGAGTTAATATCAATCTCACAATTTATCATACCAATCTATAATTTTCTACACACACACATGTACTCTGGTCAGTAGAATGTAATACAATACAGTCATGTACATGGATTTCTTTACTATATTACACATCTTACTAATAATCGATTTAAGCTTTTGCTTCAACACAAGGCTATTTGATTTACTTCTAAATGTTAGGATTATGTAAACAGGCGTTCAAAGATGCTTTTAGCAATTAGTCTCTTATTGAGAATAACTTTACCAAATAATCAATAATGTTAACGTATAATACTTCATACTTATTATTCCTTAATTGTCAGTTTTTTAGGGGTTGTGGAGATTGTTTAATTTTTGATTGAGATCATGAACCGATTGTTGTTAGACCATCATTGAAAACCTGGAAGCACTGGACGGCCATTTTTTGTCCTATTGTGAGACTCCTCAGCAGTGCACATCCACGATCCCGCTCACGGGATTCGGACCCAGGGCCTTCAGTCTCGCGCTCGAACGCTTAACCTACTGGGCCAGTGAGCCAGCCGGTATCCAATAGTGTTGATGTCTAACATCAACCAATCCACGAAATTGCGCTACCATCTTCCATTGTACTGAGATAGACATCTGTCTCTACCCGACACGGATTAGCTCCACTAATCATTATCAGGAATTTAATTTCTTTTTATTTACAAAATCGATCAATTAAAGTATCTGGTAACAACTTGAAACCACTAGATAAATATTTACTATCAGTAATGCATCAACACAAACTCGTTAGATACAAAACACGGAACATTTAATTCCCATAGCTAATATGTTGTTTTTAAATCATTGAGTTAAGCTTCCATCGCTTCTTTAGTTCAATATCAGTCAACTTAATTTATAAATAAAACTAGTTTTATAGTTAAACAAGGTTGAATTATATCACAATCAAAACATTAAAATTTAATTTTTTTTCTGGTTAGCGTTTTTTTTCTTTTAACGAGTTAGTTTTCTACGGGATGGGATCACTGACCTAATGCCCAACCCTCCTTCTTTATCCGGGCCTGGGATCAGGGAGTAGCCCTAGAGGGGCTCCCGATGGAGTTTAAAATCTAATTACTGAACAATTATTGAGGCAAATGATGGTTTTAATTTATAGCCATGGTTTCAATATATGCCAAATTATCGATCAAATAATTAGATCGCATTATTTTCTTAGTAAAATCGAGTTTTAAAACAATGTTGACTGAAAGAACTATCAATGATACTGACTAATTGGATTTAACTGATGAGAAATATAAGGTATTGAATAACTATTTTATTCTAATCTGCGATTTCCTATCGATACACACTTAAGGTTTCAATAAGAATTAAATCTGGGACATCTAGGTTCAGTGATTCACAATAACAATCCTTTCTTACACTAGTAATAGTTTATTTACATTGGCAATACTAAGTCTATTCTAGATATAATGATATTTCATCAGTCATTAGCTTTCACTTGAATTCAAGAGATTTACTTCGAACTTAATCATTAATGAATTTATCATTATCATTTATTGGATTGTGTACAAAAATCAATTTAGTTTTGGTGAATTCTTTCTTTGTCATGAATAAGAATTATCTAATGTTTCAATTGGAACGATGATTTAATAGTTGAATTTATGAGTCGATTAAAGCTAGATCACCATGGAAACCTGAAAGTACTAGACGGCCGTGTTTTGTCCTATTGTGAGACTCCTCAGCAGTGCGTATTCATGATCCCGCCTGGCGTGATTCAAACTCAGGATCTATCGGATTATATTTATTATCTTTTATTTATTTAAAATCATCTAACAATTACAATATCAATATAATAATTCAATTCAATCATTTGTAGATCTCTTTCTTAAAATTAGCACACACACACAAAAAAAAAGAAACTTGATTGTACTTTTCTATTCGTTAAATTATATCATAATTATCACCTGTGTTGAAAGAGAAACTGATCAGTTACTAATTAGTTAACATTAGTTTAATTAGTTTCTATATAGGAGTTTGGGTTGTTTTGGTTGTGTTTTTTTTGGTTTTTTTTCGTAATATCCATTTGAGTTGGTTCTTTTTTTTGCATTTTGACCTTATGAATTATTTTACAAAAGTGCATAAACGCATAGATAATCTATACTTAGATTAATTTAGTACTCTGTAAGTAGATATTCAATTACGTCCTAACTATCAAAACAAAAAGAAGAGTCAGTATAGGGTTGTGAAGATTATTAAGTTATTGATTAAGATCTTGAACTAATTGATGTTAGACCACCATTGAAAACCTGGAAGCACTGGACGGCCATTTCTCCCTATTGTCAGACTTCTCAGCAGTGCATATACACGATCCTGCTCACGGGATTCGAACCCAGAGCCTTCAGTCTCGCGCGCGAACGCTTAACCTACTGGACCAGTGAGCCAGCCGGTATCCAATAGTGTTAATGTCTAATCTCAACCAATCCACGAAATTGCGCTACCATCTTCCATTGTACTGAGATAGACATCTGTCTCTACCCGACACGGATTAGCTCCACTAGAACTCCGAGAATTCCCTCACGAAGCTAGTCACTAGTGAACACATGATAGTTATCAGTATAGGGGTTGTGGAAATTGACTTTAGATGAATTTTCATTTATTGTAATCTTATATTAGAATAAAAGCTACTCGGTTGATAAAATTTCTGTATATTTGGATAAATTTTCCTCATGAGCTCTAAACAGATAAGTAAATCAATGTATACAATATTCAAGATTAGATTTACACAATCAAACTGTTTACATAATATTTAAATACATGTAACAATGATCAGTTTAAAGAAAGACATTAGCTATAACTTAATTCTCATTAGTTTCGTTAACTTCAATCAGTTTGATATATTTTTTTATTTAAATTTCTCTTCTTTTTTGCGTTTAGTATTGGAGAAAGCGTCATATACGATTAAAAAGCCAAGTTGGAAGATTATCCGATGGATTTCGTCGTAATGTCAAAGTTATATTGTAAGTTAGTAAGGATAATATACATATACATATATGTGTGTTTATATGTTATTGTGTAATATATCTTACAACTTTAAGGTCTTTTATGAGATTTACAATACGTTTTGTATGTTATTAAGAATCACAAGTATCCCTTTTATTGAATTCACTTGGTATTGTTTACTTGAATCTTTTCATTGATGTTTACGACTGAAATTAATCAGTCTCTTATTGGCATATATCCATACTGTGCGGATCGCCTCGATATTGCCTTAAGTCATAACGTATTCAAGCAAAGATGTATAGTGGCTAGTGGTGAAATCCAGGACACGCGTTTCGTCATATTTGGGACTTGTCAGCTGGATGTATCTGCATCTTAGAGTTGACGGTCACTTCAGGACTCGAACGCAATGCCGTTCGCTTCAAACACCATCGCATTATCCCCTTACCTACTTAGTCCTGATATTCACTTGCTTGTGCAATGGGGTGAAGTTATAAATTCACTTGATATTGTTTACTTAAATCTTCCCATTGATATTTAGGACTGCAATTGATCAGTCTCATGTTGGCATACGTGCATACTGTGCATATGGACTCGATATGGCCTTAAATCACAAGCATTCTAAGCAAAGATGGGAGAATAGTGACCCAGTCACCTAACAATTTAAAATTAAAAAACCACAAAGTTCACTTATTTTGTAAAAGTTCCAATATCAGAAAATTATAATATGAGTAATAAAGTTGACAATATGAAGTTAACCTTAATGAAGGTTTAACGTGTATTTATTTGTTAATTATAATAAGAATACTTACTTACTTACTTACTTATGCTTGTTATCCCTCGTCGATGAGCATAGGTCACCCAACAGCACTCTCCATCTAACCCTGTCCTGGGTAATCTTTTCCAGTTGTTTCCAGTTGCTAATCATTTTTTTAATATCTGCTTTCGTTTCCCGACCTAGTGTGTTCTTCTCTTGACTGAACCGCACATTCATGTAGATACATCCATAATTACCCTTGTGTACGTTTAACAAAACACTATATGCATACATAAATACATTTTTCCTTTATTTTTCCAGTGTTTATCGTAATGGTGATACATTTACACCAGCTATACGTGTACATTTAAGACCTATACAAGCAATGGATTTCGAATTAATTATGCGTGCAATTGAAGATTGTGTTATTTTACCATATGGGAAAGCTGTTCGAAGGTAAATAAAAAATGGGGACTTTGTTTGATTATTCATATCAAACTCTATTTTATTTCTTATTTGATTTTAATATTAAACACTTTGCACAGATAAATTTGTGAAGAAAGAGGATGAGGCACAGAGAAAGAGGGAGAGAAAAGGAACAAACAATTAATTCATTTTATTCTCTCACTTAAATCCAGGTTGCTCCTTGTTTCTAATCGTAGATGGGATTCAGTTCATGACATTCAATCTGAAAATGTTTGAAACTAGAATAGATCATTGATACAGCTTTTCTAGGTTTCCAGAAGTTATCATTATTTCTAATATCAGTGTATGTATGTAGAAAGCATAGATCTCCTCCCATCTGAATAAGACATTCATATGTATGTATATTTTTAGTATATTACTTACTTACTCACTCCAGTCATCCCTAGTAGACCATTGACCACCGACTAGGATTCTCTAACCAAATCTGTCCTGTGTTCTTCTTTCTAGTTTTTTCCAAGGATTATTCATTCCTATGATGTCTGCCTCCCATTACTGACCCAGTATGTTCATTAGTCTTCCTCTTTTACTTTGAGTGTATACTTACCGAATAAATCAATTTATTTTGCAAAACTAATAACTGAAACTATTAACAATTATAGCTTTATTCAACCATGTAAATCTTATTACTGTAAGGAATGCCCAGTACTTATTATGGAATGTTATCATAAACGTTCCTTTAGAATTCACTAAAACTATAATTATTCAGGAAGTATATTTAATTTTCTTTGAATAGTTTATATCTATTAATTAACTTCAGTATCCAACATTTCAGTTGCTATGGCAACTTATCACATCTACTATATATTGAATGTCATACACATAGTTCCCTTTATCATTTTGAAAAGAGCAAGAACAAAGATTCTAGCAGAATAACATGAATTCATTTTATTTCGTAGGTTCTCGTCAGCTGCTTACAACCTGTGATATTTAAAAAGATAATAATTACATAATGGGTTTAAATTGCTTACATGAGAGGGTTTATATTGAAGAAATATTCGTAAAGTATAACATGGGTGTAAATGAAATTAATAGGCTGAATATTGTAAATATTTACCTAATGTGAAAGAATATTCCACAGCATTAATTGTGACAACAGTTCAACAGGGGGTTAGAAACAATTGATTACATAATGAATAAACATTGATAGGAATATGGTGAGTAGATTTCAATTGAAAGATTATTCATTTGAAAGATAGTTGAAAAAATAAAATAGAGTCAATGATGTAATAAATACAAAAGAAAAAAAGAAAAAAAATTTAAGGTGCAGCGAAAGAATATTTGTCACCAAGGCAAGGAAAGATTAACAACCGTCTCCTTTTGAATACATAGGTCAGGTTTTTGACGCCTGATGGCAACGGCTTCAGCAAACTTCAGAAGACTGGAGTTTGGCTGCTTACTAATCACCTTGAATGATTGTATATCGAATGCATGAATTTCAGTTAGACCCCAACTGAAAACACTATACATCCGTTCCATCCTAGTATGAAAGTCCTCAACATTTCATTATTGTTTAATAGTTATACAAACTAGTATGTAGTTTCTAAATGTTGGTAAGAACATGTATCTGTGTATATATCAGTAAGTTACCTACATGAGACCATCATAGTCTATATTCACCCGAAGCAAGCAGTATTAGAGTAAAATAGGTATGTACCAAATCCCATGTTTCATTATAGTCAAGAATGCTAAACAAAGATTAATACCTCCATATTGCAATGATGATAACTTAACAAATTCCCAAATAACATCAGTCTAATGAAGGTTTATAGATGATAGTCAGTTATAACAAAGCTAACTAAATTTCCAGTACTTAGGGATAAACCAACCCCCAAACTTTTCAAAAAATTTAGAAGTATCATATATTGTGATTTAATCAGATGACATTTTTCCCTTATTTATGTCACATAATATTCAGTAAACGGAATACACCCGTTTAGACATTACATTTTTATTTATCTAAACACATAAACATTGGTACAAGGAGGCACCAAACAGATATGCGTTACATAAATCGAGTGATTTATGTGAGAGCTGGGATACTGCCGAGTGCCCAGACCGAAATAGGTAGTTTTCTTAGGAGGCCACATCATGAGTCTTTGATCTAAAGATCTAACCCGCAAGGCAGTGGAGCAACGTTAGGAGATGCAGTCCCATGGTAGCCGGTAACTAACGATTGGTTCATATGCCATTTGTCCCTTTAGGATCCTGTAGCCCATGTGCACTATTGGTTTGGAATGAAAGTTTTCCAACTCCCCTATGTGAACTCTCCGTGTACTTCAACCCAGTTAAAGCGCCAGACATTCGCTTTTCATCCTCTTAATTTCGCAAACAACACCCCTGGTACGAGAACACAGTGAGTAGGGCTTCTCTTGAAGTGGTTGTATGAACGTGGTCACGTGAGAGCATTCCGAGAAGAAGATCTGACTGTCCCCAATCTTGTCGATACTATGGCATTTGGGGGTAAGACATTAAATAATAAAGACTGGTTCAGCAAAGAGTTCTCTTTTCGGCGAATTCACTTTCAAAGCTATAAAATCGCAAATATATTAACTTGTTTTTCTCAAAATGATAAGGACTACAATAATTACAATAATAATGATAATAAACTTCTGTTAGACATGGTGACAGTGAGGTAGCATAAACAAAGGTATTTAAAACTGTTTTAATCATACGCTTCTTCCTTTACAGTTGTCTGCTCCTCCCCCACCTTATCTTTAAACCTTCTGCCCCCAAATGGCTTGTTTCTGTTTCTATGATCCTCCTGAATACATTTAATCTCAATTTCAACACCTTATCTTATCATGCTGAGCCATCTTTTCCGAATGATAATTTCCTCATCTATCTTTTGATGAATATTTAAGCCATTAACAATTAAACAATTATTATTGTAATTATTAACATCTTGAAATGATAAGCCTATATATTTGAGATTGTACAGCTCTGAAAAGAGAATTCTTTGCTGAACCAATCTTTCATACATAATATTCAACTGAAAAACTGTAAATAAATACAGTAATCATCTTTTAACTGATACACATCGAACATATTACATCCTCATAATGTTTATTAATGGTGTACGGATAAAAACAATAGATTGAACTTTTAAAATATAAGTGGGAAAGATTCAAACATCCAATACAAATGAATTACAACTTCACGCCATTTCACAAGCTTGTGGCTATCTGGACTCAGTAGCTAAGCGAATAACGCGATGGCGTTTGGAGTGAAAAATACTAAATTCGAGTCCCTGAGTGAAAACCAACTCTGAGATACAGGTACATCTGGCTGATGTGTTCCAAATAAGACGGAACGTCCGTTCTGGATTCCACTGCCAGCCACCATCCGTCTCTGCTTGCGATGTGAACTTTTGTCAATATATTTATGCTACTTATAAGTAGCTAAGCGATTAGTTTGCAATAAATCGCCTGAACCACATGAAAGTTTGCTAGTCTATCGGCAAACATGGAATCAAGTTTGTTTTGCTTACATATATGTTCAAGAGTTTCAGTAGACAAAAATATATGCAAGATATTAATTATGAGATTACTCCTAATATAAGTTTATAGTGTATGCTTTAAATCGATTTGTAAAAGGATTTCATGGAATTAAAATAGAGCTTAATAAACGTGTAATATTTCTGTCATTCATACAACTTGAAAGTTTAAACAAGATTCCAAATGCAACCAGTGAAAAAATTTAAGACAGAATCAGATACTTGATTTTTTAAATAAACATATTACTATTAACGTTGAATAGCGGCTGACAGTAGAATTCAAGACTATCGCTTCCGGCCATTTGGTACTCACCAGCTGAATGTGCTTGTATCTCAGTGTCAGTAATCAACTACAACTTAAAATCGGTGTCTTTTGCTTCGAGTGCCTTAACCGCTATCCACTTAACTGCTGAATACAGATAATCACTTGCCTGTCCAACACCTTATTAACTATCATTGTAGAAAAAATACATATATTTTGCCATTATATAGCCTTGAGAATGAATTCTCTGAATCACTTTTCCTTATTTTTATGCCCAAATGAATATGGTCCGTCTTCTAGATAAATTTAACATTCTGAAACTTTATTGGTAATGGTTTACTTTTTCTTAATTTTGGTATTCAGAACTGTATGTAATTCTGAGCGGATCACCTCGGCATAATCATTAAGTTACATTTTAATATAATTAGATCAAAGGTAATAGTGGAGCTTTGAGTACATATTCTGTTCTACTTAAGTTTTCCTAATAATGAAATATATTATTAATAAAACTGTGTGTTAATCGAAAACCAGAGTTATGTTATTCTGATATGATTGACAGTTAAATAAGTCATAAGAACATCATTAACACTGAGATCTAGACAATATTTGCTTTCGTTTGTTTATTCTCTAATCAATTCATGTTTGTTTTTAGAAATTTAATTTGATTTCATTAAGAGAGGAGAAAATGGTAAATGGTTAATATCTCACATGTGTTTCTAAGGACATTTGATTAATGATTATAAATATGTTAAAAGAATTACATTCGCAATTGATTGATCACTGGATGGTGATCAATGTCATGTGTGTCAAGTCCTTCTTAGTGCAGATCGAATGCTATTGGCCAAGTTGCAATATGACCACTAGTCTGGGTGACTCGACATTGCGTGCACTATGCTGAGATAAAATAGTGGTTGGAGGTAGTCAACAGGTAGCCCTGAACCCAGGTTTCGTGCTACTTGGCACTCGTCAGCAAGGTGTACCTGTAATCTTGAGGGAACTGGTGCTCCCTAATGGATTCAACCCCGTGTCACTCGGCTTCACAGTCAGAGACGTTACCACTGGGCTATTTATTGAGTTTCTGTACTGCAATAATTCTATTAGAAACATGAATACCATTCATAAGGTGTACTTTTTTAATGATTCACTGAATTGTATACTATTCGCATTTTGAAAGATTCAGCAAGTTAAGGGAAATTTCATTACAACATTATGAAA